GAGCAGCCAGAATACAAACTGGCAACCATATGAGATCCCAGCAGGTGCAAGGTGAGGACTTTAGCTACTAAGCTATTGCGCTGGGCCCAAAAATAAATATATATTTAAAACTAACAAAAAATTCCCAATTCTAAATATTGGTTGGAAAAATTGAAATCATCGCGCAGGCCAACCAAAACCTGTAGGAGCAGCATTTGTTCCAAAATTGGTCTACCAAAGCTTGAACTCCACAATTGACTATCTGATGGTTGCCCCAGTAACCAGCGAAGGCCAGAGCTTGCTTCCAGCAGATCCCAGGCTGCAGCCCAGAACCGATGGCGAAATTCTGGTTCGCCCCTGAGGCAGTGAGATCGCTGCTGCACCAATGAAGGACTAAGCGACCCTGCTCCAGATTCTGTGTGGAGGAGCTTAAAATCCCCTTGAATGGCTCTGCCTGACTTTTCTTCCCTTTTACATGTCTGCCTTTCCACTGCATGGGGAAATAAAGTCAACAACTGCGGTTTCCTGGAATAAAAGCCATTTAATTTCTTTTTATATAATTGGCTCATGTATTCTTTCCCTGGCGGTCAGCAAATTTTACACTCTCCACTCTGGTGAAATATCAGCAGCTTTCTGACCAAAGCTAATCTCAGTTGGAGCAACACTTAATGTAACTGAGTTCCACAGCATTGCCTCATGTATAATGCAGATTCTAGACCTTGATCCAACATAAACATCTGGTCTTTTCCATCCACGTAGGAAGAGTTAATCAACACCTATCAAAGATAGGTCAATAACAAAGGAGGGACCAGAGGGTAAGGAATTTGCTTTGAGCCTGACCCTCCTGACCTCCTGGCCCACTGACCTCCCATTTGCTTTAATTGGGTGGTGCCTCCTGGACACAACCTGCAGGAGACATGTTTTCAATGGCAGGTGGTGCCTCTTTGCAGCACTTCCCATCAGAAATGTGCTTCTGGTTGCCTCGTCCCAGAAGCTGTCCCTGGGCCTTCTGGCTGGCATTCAAGGGGAAGGTCCTAAGACTTCTACTCTTGGGGGAAACATCTTCCTGGGTCATTTAGGATGGACCTGCTGGGAAACCAGTACTTCTTCTGGGGCCCACATGGGGTTTGACTGTATGGGTGTGAGTTGCTGGGTGGAAAGCTGGTACTCAGGGTGCCACCCTGACAATGAGGGCACAGCAGGAGATGTGGCAAAGAGATGATGATAGGAATCTCTGGGCATGGGTGGGAAATAATAATAATCAGCATAAAAAGGGTGGCACTAGTTGTAAAACTGGTCCCCTCCACCTTCCTCAGCGATTTCCATCTCCTCCTGTTTTCCTGAGCCCACATTCAAACCATGATACCCTCTTTGACATACATGTAATCTCTTACCTACATTGGCTCCTTCTCTTATCCACCAGTAGATAGCAGTCTTCCCTCTCAAAGAGCCTTGCTGGTGCTTACCTTCCTCTCGGCCACGGTCAGTGTAATGTCAGCCCACCCTGCCTCCCACTGAAACTGGTCCTCTCTAAAGTTGCCCCTGATGAGGCTGGCACCGTAGCCTAGTGGCTAAAGTTCTCGCCGTGCATGTACCAGCATCCCATATGGGCATCAGTTCATATCCTGGCTGCTTCACTTCCCTTCCAGCTTCCTGCATGTGACCGGGGAAAGTGGTGGAGGACCTTGAACCTTCGTGGGAGACCTGGTGTAAGCACCTGGCTCCTGATTTCAGATTGGCTCAGTTCTGGCTGTTGAGGCCACTTTGGGAATAAACCAGCGGATGGAAGATCTTTCTCTTTATCTCTCCTTCTCTCTGGAAATCTGCAAATAAAAATAAATTTAAAAAATTGTTTAAAAAGTTGCTCCTAACTCAGTTGCCAATCTCAGTTTTTCTGAGGTGTGAAGCCCCTTTCCCCCTCTTCTCCTTACTCTCTGGAGATTCGGGACACTCCCTCCAGTCTCCCTCTACATCTCTGGCTCCTTTGTGGCTCCTGGCTCCTCCATCTTCACCCACACTTTCTTTTTTGAAATATTTACTTATTTTTATTGTCAATGTGAGCCAGGAACCAGGAGCTTCTTCTGGGTGTCCCAATGGGTGCAGAGTCCCAAGGCTTTGGGCCATCCTTGACTGCTTTCCCAGGCCACAGGCAGGGAGCTGGAAGGGAAGTAGAGCAGCTGGCACTTGAATCGGCACCCATATGGGATCCTAAGCATGCAAGGTGAAAATTTAGCTACTAGAATATCACATCGCACCCTTCACCCATACTTAAAATGCTTCCAGGTCTAGTACAACCCCGTTGTACAAATTAGAATAGGCACATCACACTTTGGGCACAGCCATGGGCCAGCATGTCTGTGCCCAGTACTGTGAATACTTTGTGCAAGTGCCCAATGCAGCCTCAGGTAGTACCCTTGGGTTTCTCCAACTGCTTGTTCTACTCTCTTTCCTTCTGCAACATCACGACTTTCATGCTTCCAACTCTAACCTATGTGTCTTACCTCATCTCTGGACATTTTTCACCTATCTACTGGACTTTTGCTGGGTGTCTATGGGTACTCTCAATTTGTCATGGTTCAAACGGATTTCAGACCTGAGAACTGTTATTTCAAAACATGCTTATTTAAAAAAAATTTCTCTCTTGGTTATGACATCTTTCATCTTCTCATGGATCTGAACACTTTCATCATCTCCCAAGTGCACAACTGGAAGAGCCTTCTTACTAGCTTCCTCACCCCCAGGGTCTCCCGCCTCCTCATGGCTACCTGATTCCTTTCTTCACGTAGATGTGAGCACTTTACTGCTTTCTTTAAAAATCTGCTTTGTTTCTAATTAACAAGAAAGTCATCCAGATGTTCAGAGGCGGCACATAAAACCCTCCATATTCTGGACTAAACCTACTTTTACAGTCCTACACCTTGCCTCGGAACCTCACACAGTTGTTGCTCTTAACCACATCACACTGTGATGCCAGTTTCTTGAACACAACTTTGCTATAGGCTTTCATGTCTGCGTCTTTGCTGATGACTTAAATACTGTGTGACATCCCCTCCACTCTTTAAGATGATGCCAACTTTTCACCTCTTTTTTTGAGGTGCCTCTGACTTTAATGAAAAGCTTGTTTCATGTTTCTCCGTATAATAATCTACTGTGGATTGTCTAAACTTTGTTTTACCCCTCTTTGCTGTTACATTCTTACTTTTTCATACATTCTTACTTTCTCACGTGTGGCATGAAGGTTTGTTGGTCTCCATATTGTCAGCAACTTGTCGAGTGCCTGGTACATTGTATATTTTGAAAAAACTGTATGATGGAATGTCTCAGGATGTTTGGACATAGTTATGTGAAAGGATTGATGATTTCTTTCCATGGAATTTTTAGTCTACTCCTTTTCTTCAAAGTCAGATGCAGCTCAGGGTAGAACAGGTGATGAACCCTGCTGGAGTTAGTCGGGGTATCACATCCCCAGTTTTTGGCTAAGTCTCCCTAGGGACAGAAGAGTGCAACTTCTCTAACAATGGACTGATATCCAAGTGTGGATATTTACCAACGTCAGTGTTTCTTAGAGCCAGTGATAATTTTCAACCTCCGACCTACATCTTGGCTTCCCATAGAAAATACAGTGTTTTTTTTTTTTTTTTTTGAGAAAATACAGTTTTGAATAGCTAACTCAGAGTTTCAGTATTAAGGCAGATGTAGATGTGATCATGTGTGAGCCAGGATGAAGCCGGGAGTGGGAAACTCAAGCTAGGTCTTGTCCAAATGGGTGCCAGGGACCCAGGTACTTGAGCTATTGCCTGCTGCCTCCCAGAGAGAGCATGAGGAGGAAGCCGGATCCTACACAGATGCAGAACTCAGTCCAGGCATTCCAGTAGGGGATACAGTGCCATGCAGCAGCTTAACTTGCTATGCCACATGCTCACTCATGAACGTTTATGTTCCCTGGGTCCTTGCAAACACAGAAAGGGTTGAGATCTGAGAACTTGAGAAGCAGTATAAACAAAAACCAAGTGTTCACATCAAAACCTTGGAAAACCTAGAGGGTGAACACGCAGGAACGGGAAATCTTTATTCTGTCCAGGACTTTTGGAATACCTACCACGTCATTTGTGGGCCACACAACAAAATCAATTTAAAAATTAGCCTGTATAGATTTACCGAATTTTGAATCCTGCCTGCAGTTGCCTCTGGCAAGGCCAGATCAAATGAGGTCATAGGCCATATACCCCTGTCTGCTGCACAAAGCTGTCCTGAGGCCAGGGACTGCTAGCCCCACTGTACATGCTGGCCTGCACGTCCAGGGGACACATTTGGACTCCTTAAACCCACAAGATATAGGTTTTCCTTTTTTTTCTTTCTTTTTTTTTTTTTTTTTAAATGGGCAGATACATGCTTGCAGAACCAGGGTAGTTGCTTGTCAGGGGGTGGCAAGGAGCGTGATTCTATCTTCCCCTCAAATAATAAATCATGTACGGTTTTTATTTTCATTTTTTTGTTGCACCCAAAGTGATGTATCTTTGATTTTCATTTTCCACTCAGTTTTTACAACTTGCTAACAAAGAACTTCATTCTTACAATGCCAGCTAACAAAGGATGCCTAGAGAAAGCCCCTGTGGTGCTCGTCCACCCACTCACTCTGTGTGTTTTGGGGCTGCTCAGCTTCTCCTTGGAGCCAGCAGTGCCCTTCAGGCTCCCCAAAAGTCTGAATGAGGTCAGTTCTCCCATGCTAAGGGGTCTGCGCCCAGGCGTCCAAGCCCCTCACATCGTCCCTCCTCCAGAGAAAGCTCTGTCCCAAGCAGACGGCCCTGAGGCCGGGAAGCGAGAGCGACAAGGGCGACCCAGAGCGCCCGGGGCGCCCGAGCGGCCTTCGGACTGGGCTGGGCGGGGGTGCCCGCCGCCGGGCGCGCGTCAGCCGGGGGCCGCCCTCGTCGGCCCTTCCCCCGGGCGGGGCCAGCCCCGACGGTGCTGACTCAGCAACGCGAGGGGGAAGTTTTGTCCCTCCGCGGACCCCGTTTCCCAGGGCCTCAGCCTCCCTGCCGCCAGCGAACCGGTTTCCTTTTTCCGGCGCTCCGGGTTGCGAGAGGCTGGTCCGGCCAGCTCGGCGTTGAGCCACCGAGCAAGCCCGGCACTCGCCCGAGGACCCCGAACGCTCGCGTTTACCCCGCCAGGGCAGCTGAGGCGCCATGAGCAACGCGGGTGAGGCGGCCGCTGGTGCCCGCCGAGGGCTGCCGCGATTCCCTGAGGAGGGTTAGGGAGGGCTAGGGGCGGGAATGGGGCGACGGCTCCGAGGGAGGCCCGGCGGCGGCGGCGGCGGGGGAAGGCCGGGGGCTCGGGGCCATGGAGGGCCTGGAGCGGCCTGCAGCCAGGCGGCATCTCGGGGGAGCGCGCCGCCGTGGCGCCCTCGGGATGCGCTCGCCAAGTTGTAGCGGGGATGTGAGAGCCCGAGACGTGCCCTCTTTCTGCATCTTCCTGGCCTTTAGATCCCGATTGGTCTCTCCACAGGACTGAATGTGGAGAGGGTATCGGCGCTCATCCAGAAGCTGAATTCCGACCCCCAGTTCGTCCTGGCCCAGAATGTGGGCACCACCCACGACCTGCTGGACATCTGCTTGAAGAGGGCCACGGTGCAGGGCGCCCAGCATGTTTTCCAGCACGTTGTGCCCCTGGAGGGCAAGCCCGTCACCAACCAGAAGAGCTCAGGTGAGGGTTACACACTCCCCGTCTCCTTCTCTGCCCTGAGCTTAGGGGAGCAGAGATTTGCACGCACGGACCTTGTTGCTGTGCTTAGAGCCCAGGCAGGTGCCAGGAGTGGACCCGTGTGGTGGCTTCTTCTGGTGCCCTCTGAGAGTTGGTGGCACCTGTGGCTGGGGCACAGACGAGTTTGTGGTCCCATGCCTGAGTGTGAGACTCTCTTGCTTTCTGAAGGTCTAGATGTGATCGCTGCCCATGTGCTCTTGGGCACAAAACAGAACATGGGAAAGATGGCGGTGCCCTGCAGGACCATTCCCCTCACCCCCAGATTGCTCGGAGTCAAATTTGTGAAATAGAAAAGACATCACATACTTACACACAGATGTTACGTTTTAGAACATGCTAGAGCTGATGTGCTTGTGAGCTGGGTCCCCGTGGATCGAGCAGTTTGTAATGCCTTTGGTTGCCTTACCTTGAGGGAGAACATCCAGGAAGCTAGCTAAGGAGAATGTTATCACAAGTGTGTTGAGAGGATTTACAGGGAGGTTTCTTCCCCTTTAGGAGCTGCTCTGCATCCGGGTGTGTTGGCAAAGTGGGTTAATGCTTGCTCAGAGCCACTTTGTGACTGCTGATCCACTTCGTCTTGTCCCAGTGGTCCTCTGAGTAGTTGAGAGGGCAGTGAGCTGGGGAGAAGTTTGGAAATGCGTATCTTAGAACAGGTTAGGTCTTCTGCTGGCAGTTCTGTAGTGTCACTTTTATTTACAGAGGATATAAATAGCACATGAACTGTGGAGTTCTTTTTGTATTAATAGTTCGTCCAGATTCCTTCTGCTGAAAACACATAGTATGTGAGAGAAAGGCATGCAGATAAATCTCAAGATGAGTTACACTAAGGCACTGGTAATTTTAGTAAACACTATTTGAAGTAGTTTTTCTTGTTATAAAATTGTTCTTGTATAGCATAGAAAATTTTCCCAGTACCAGCATGAGAATATTTTTTCTGTGTACCCTTCAGGTCTTTATTGATTTGTTTGTTTATCTTTTATTAATCTGTTAGGTGTGTATGTTTGTGGATAGCTTATATGTTAATGGGTAACCTACCTTTTTTCTCTTAGAGTCTATATTGTGTACTGATTTTCATATCAGTTAAAAGAGAAATATCCAAATACAGGTTATGGTTTGTCCCTTTGACTTTTCCTTGAAAACAGAGTTGCTGTCTGCATGGCCTTACTGAAACTTTGAAAAGGGGCGCGCTCTGTTAATTACCTTGAAGAATAGTACATTGGCAAAGACATGACTCTGAAATAACGTGGTCCGTGCTAGTTTTAAGTACTTACGGTGATCACTTAATTGCATCAGTTTTTTTTTTCCTTCTGAGGCCAGAATTAACACAGTATATTCCTAAGACATGACATAATGTTGAGATGTTGTATATCATTATAAACAGGTCATTAGTAGAGCACTTAACACAGGAAGTGGGGATATTGTGGAATTTGTGATTATATACTTGCAGAGTCAGTGACTAGTATGTACAGGTGATGGTTGGCATGAAGTTTTCAGAGACAACATCACGCACAAACTGAAAACCTTGCTGTGACTGAAGCACACTAGATGGAAGAAAGGTGATGTGGGTTTGATGCTGGGAAAGGCAGTGATGACCACATACATGTGAAGAGTACGGATCACTGTGGCAATGGGAAAAGCGATGCTTCAGTCCGTGTCCTATGTTAGCATGAATAACTTTGAGTTTCATCTGTATCTCTAAATGTTGGTATTATGCAACAAACCAGATACCTCCCAATTTTGAATCCTGAAAGAGGTCCATGTTATTTCAGGGAGAGTAAGGGAGTGATTTACATTGAGGTCACTTTATTATTACATATTATTATTTGAGAGGCAGAAAGAGCCTGTCCTCTGGTTCCTTCCCCAGATGCCTTAAAAAAGCCAGGAGCTGGTGCTGGTGCCATGGTGTAGAAGGCTAAGCTTAAACAAACAAATAAACAGGTCCCTGTGCGGTAGCCAACTGGCTGAAGTCCTCACTTTGCACATGCCGGAATCCTATATGGATGCTGATTTGTGCCCTGGTGGCCCTGCTTCTCATCCAGCTTCCTGCTTTTGGCCTGGGAAAGCAGTCAAGGATGACTAAGACCTTGGGACCCTGCATCTACGTGGGAGACCTGGAGAAAGCTCCTGGCTCCTGCTTTTGGATCAGCTAAATTTCAGCCGTTGTGGCCCCTTGGGGAGTGAATCAACAGATGAAAGATTTTCCTTTCTGTCTTTCCTCTCTATATATATGACTTTCCAATAAAAATAAATCGTTTTTTTTGTTGTTGTTGTTGTTTTAAACCAGTATGACAATTTAAAGAGAGAGAGAAAGAACGAGTTAAATTTGTACCTGTGGACCCAGCATGCTAAATGGTGCTGGCTCAAGTCCCATGTGCTTCATTTATGATCCAGTTCCCTGCTATGATCTGAAAAAGGAGCAGAGAATGGCCCAAAGCCTTGGGCCCCTGCACCCACATGGGAAACCTGGAAGAAGCTAGCTCCTGCCTTTGAATTGGCTCAGCTCTGGCCATTGCAGCCATTTGGGGAGTGAGCCAGCAGAAGAAAGATCTTTCTGTTTTCTCAGTAACTCTGCCTTTCCAGTAAAAATAAAATAAATCTTAAAAAAAAAGCCGAAGCTTGTAATTCGGATCATGTCTATTAAGTTGATATTGGAAACCTATCTGTTTAAGCCGTCATAACTGGATATCCACATTAGCAGGAAGCTAGAATTGGAAGCCTAAGCTGGGATGCAGTCCAAGCTTTCCAGAGTAGGATATAGGCTTCCTAACCAGCATGCTACCCCCAGCACCCACCCAGGTGCTCTTTCTGAGTTACTCTTTTTTTTTTAAAATTTAATATTTGTTTATTTTTAATTGGAAAAGTGGATTTATAGAGAAAAGGAGAGACAGAGATGGATCTTCCATCCTCTGGTTCATTTCCCAAATGGCCGCAATGGCTGAAGCTAAGCTGATCTGAAGCCAGGGGCCAGGACCCTATTCTGAATCTTCCACATGAATACAGGGTCCCAAGGCCTTGGGCCATCTTCTACTGCCTTCCCAGGCCACAATCAGTGAGCTAGATGGGAAGGAAATAGAGCAGTCGGGGCGAGAACCAGTGCCAAATGGGATCCCTGCACTTCCAAGGCAAGGATTTAGGCACTGAGCCATTGCACTGGGCTCTTTGAGTTAGTCTTGATTGTCCAAATCTTGTCTTGGCTTCAGTTTTGGGGAAATATGATTGGATCAGTTGATCTCGTGTAATTTATAATTTGTTACTTTGCTTTCTTGTTTCAGGGCGATGCTGGATCTTTTCTTGTCTAAATGTTATGCGACTTCCATTTATGAAAAAGTTAAATATCGAAGAATTTGAGTTTAGTCAGTCTTATGTGTTTTTCTGGGACAAGGTATGGACCTGATCTTGCAAAACTTTATTTTTGGTATCAATCTTGGTAGGGACTACCTCTAGTTTTCTTGTTTTTTCATCTCTAGTCTACCCTTGCATTATAGCTGGGACACCATTTATACTGATTTTCAAAGGATCAGATCTTGTCACTTTTCGAAGGTAGAATTGCTTTTAGTTGGTAGATGGCTGTTCATTACAATGAAATAATAACTACTGATTCATTTTCTTATATGTTTTTAAATTTTGGTTTCTATAATTTCCCTTTTAACATTTTATTTAGGTTCTGGGACCTAATTTCCCTTCCTTGGAAGTAATGATTTTATTCCATTTTAGAATATTGAAAATTATGTGAGTGTCCATTTGATATTTGTTGATGTCTTGAAATATGTTTTGTTTCAGTATTGGAGTGTGTACACACTTGCATATATACACCATGTGGGGATGTGTACACACAGGTATAATAGACTTCAGATAGTCCTGGGAAGCCAATTATTGATACTTAGCAACGTTAGTTTTAGAACCATGTTATATTGGGTCCCCTATGTAGTTCCAAGATCTCTGTCCCCTTGATAGTGCCGGTTACACTGTTGGCTCTATTCTCTTTTAGTTTTATCTGACTTCTTTTGTTCTAGGTTGAACGCTGTTATTTCTTCTTGAATGCTTTTGTGGACACAGCTCAGAAAAACGAGCCCGAGGATGGGAGGCTGGTGCAGTATTTGCTTACGAACCCCACAAATGACGGTGGGCAGTGGGATATGCTTGTCAACATTATCGGTAAGCGCTTCTGTACTAGGACTGAAGCAGCATGACCGGGCTTGGTGCTGTAGTTAGCAGCAGGCCATTTCTTTGGTAGGTCAGTCTAAAGTAGAGTTTGTCTCCAGGAAGTTGATATAGTTAGGTAAAGAACATTTATTTTTCATTTTCACCAATGAATTGCTTTTCTCAAGGGATATGGAGCTAGGTATTGTGAAGGGTGGGTTGGGAAAGTGTTAAGTAGAGCTAATTTTCCATCATTGAAGTAGTTAGAAAACGTTAAAATTACAGCTGTTTAAAACGAATCATGTAGAACACTTACAATATGTGTAAAGAATAGAATTAATGCTGGGAGAGGTAGGTAAATTCACAGGTTTAAAATCTGTTTAGTAATACAAAGCCCAAGATATTTTTTGGATTAAAGCCAGCAAAATTTAACCTGTCTATAAAAGAAATAGTTAATTCCAAAGTCTACTTTACCTTAATGAATGCTGAAATTGATTTTCTTCTAGAGAAGTATGGTGTTGTCCCTAAGAAATGCTTCCCTGAATCACACACGACAGAGGCAAGCAGAAGGATGAACGATATTCTGAATCACAAGGTACATAGATGGAGCAGGGTGCAACTGAGTTCACGGTACTTGTCTGGAAACTTCCAGTAGGATTTTTAAAGAGAATGCAGACAGATTATGTATGAGACAGCTGCTGAATCCAGTGTCTTATTATAAGCAGCATAGTTGTATAATAACTTTAAAAATAATTGAATTTAGGTAGTTTTTCTTGTCATTTTTTTTTCTTCTTACAATTTCTTGCTTTAAAAAAAAAAAAAGACTTATTTTCATACACTTGGAAGGCAGAGCAAAAGAGAGAAGAAGTACAAGAGACCTTTCATTTGCTGGTTCACCCTGAGTGTCCACAATAGCCAGGACTGGGCCAGGCCAAAGTCACGTGCTTAATACTCCAGCCAGGTCTCCCACAGAGGTTAGGGGTGCAGGCTCCTTAAACCACCATTTGTTTGGAGCAGAAGGCTAGATGGGAAATTAAGTAGCCAGGACTCAGGCAGGCAATATGGAGTGTGGGTATCCAAGAGACAGCTTAATCTACTACATACCACAACACCACCCCTAAAAAAATCTCCCTCTTGTATTTCTGTTGATATTGCTGTTTTCTTATGTGTATTTGGGGAAAATGTCCTGTCTTCAGCATGGACTGAAAACACACCAGATGCTTTGCCTCTTGAGTGGTTCTCTTAGTGGTGGGCTGGAATGGCTTTATGTACGAGTGACACACAGCAGACAGACCTGCTTGGAAGACTTCCTTGAAGAGTTTGCTGAGTTCTGAGCCTTCTTGAGACCACATCAGTATGCCTCATCCACCCACAGGATACTTCATTTAGTCACTGAGCTCTTTTGATTGCTTTAGTTGTCTTAATGAATCATCTTTTCTGTACATAGCCCATTTTCCCAAAGAGGAGTATAAATCTTGCAAGGATGCTGCTCTGTTACCCAGATACCTTTTTTCAGGGAGGTGGGGAGAGGGACCTGGGAGCTGGTAGAACCTGCTGTCCTTACCCATAAGGCTGAAATTGATCTGTCATCCCTGGGAGGAAACATTAAAGAAGATGGAGATGTATTTCTTCAGTAGTACGAGTAGGTTATTTTTCACCTTGTCTACTCTTTATTATCCAAAGACTAAGTGCTCGTTGATAGTATAGCATTAAATTCCATTTTGTGTGGGAGCGCGATCCTTTTCAGTGCCTTGATGAAACTTCAGATTCACCTGAATACTGGACATCTCAAAATTGAAATCAATAGAAATGAAGACTAGGGCCCAGTGCAATAGCGTAGAAGTTAAAGTCCTTACCTTGAACGCCCGGGATCCCATATGGGTGCTGGTTCTAATCCCAGAGGCCCTGCTTCCCATCCAGCTCCCTGCTTGTGGCCCGGGAAAACAGTCAAGGACGGCCCAAAGCCTTTGGGACCCTGCACCCGCATGGGAGACCCGGAAGAAGTTCCTGGCTTCAGATTGGCTCAGCTTCAGTTGTTGCGGCCGCTTGGGGAGTGAATTATCGGACAGAAGATCTTCCTCTCTGTCTCTCCTCCTCTCTGTATATCTGACTTTCCAATAAATAAATAAATCTTTTAAAAAAAAATCTATTTCGAGTGACAGAGTGCCAGTCACCTTGTCTCCTGCTTTTTCCGAGGGTGACAGGCATTGTGGAGTTGGAAGTACTGTCACGGAGGATGCTGTCTGTTGGAGAGCAGCAGCAGTTCTGTCTAGTGCTCTTCAGTAGTAAGCCATGTCTTTGCTCACATATTTTTCTATGTGTATTTAAGTGGACTGATGGAAGAAACACATCTGCTTTTATAAACTCAGTCCTTGGTCCTGGTGGAGTTAAGGCGAAGAATAGAACTAGCATTGGTCTGCAAGTGTCATGAATAGTTTGTGTAACTATTGGAGTACTGAATTAAGTTTCTCCCCTAGATGAGAGAATTCTGTATACGACTACGGAACCTGGTACACAGTGGAGCAACCAAGGCAGAAATCTCGGCCACGCAGGACTCCATGATGGAGGAGGTAATGACAGTTATCTGATTTGTTTGTTTGTTTTTTGTATGACCCCGCTAAAGCACTCAGAATATTCTGTCTATTAAACATATTAAGAAGCATAGTCATTGCAATCAGTATTAAATTGAGTGGAAATTATTGATGGTGAAACTGAGAAAGCAGAGGCTTAAACTTAATTTTGCATTTTAACATGGGACTCAGGTTGAGTTTCTGATTTCGAGTTTTTCGTATGTAATTTCTCCTTTGATTTCTTTCATAAATATTGAGTACTTTCTGTGAATTTGGCACCAGGACAACCAAGAGAAAGAATCTGTTGTCAAGGAGCTCAGTCTCTGCTTGGAAAAAGAGAAACCATGAAGAATGACAATAAATCCTGTGCTGGATGTGTGAAAAAGGAGTTGGTGGTCCTAGAGGAGGGGTGACTAAGTTAGTATGCTGACAGTTGCAGAGGGAAGAAATAAGGACCAGCTCCTGAGAGCAGCAGGCACCTACTCTGTAGAAAACAAGACCATTCCAGGCAAAAGGAACTGCATGTGCAGTGACATGAAACACACAGGATCCTTCATACGGTGTGGCTGGGCATGTTATAAGTTAGAGAGAGATGCAGGGGTGTTGGTGAATGCCAGAACTTTTGGCTTCATCCTATAGGAATGATGATGGGGAAGCTATTGTTAAAATAATGTAGCTGAAAACATTTGGAAAACTTGAAAGCACTGAATGAGGTGGTAATAGTATTTATTATCAAAGTGGTAATGAATCTAATATGATCTGTATTTAGAATTAATATGCGCATAACTGTGGACATGCTTCAGAAGAGAAGAAACATGCCTCTTTTTCAGCCTCTGGGTCGTTAGAGGCCTCTTGTAGAGTGAAACTGGCCTAATTGGTTTTATTTTGTTCTTTACTACACTTTCGTGTTTTCTTTACATTTTAGAGGCAGTAAATGGAGTTGCTTGGAGCATAGCTTGTGGAATCAAGTCATCTTAGCTTTCTCATAACTTAAAGAGCCATGTGACCTGTGACAAGTTCCTAAAATTCTCAGTCTGTTTATGTGCGACGTGTCTGGCTCAGGGCTTGACATGTTAGCTGTTGAGTAGATGAATATATTTGGATTGTCTCATATTTACCTTTCATTTTAGATGTTCATGTTGAAGATAGTTGTCTTATTGCAGCTGGAAACACAAACTTTATAGAGTCACCTTTGTGCGGGCGTACATTCTGTCTGTATTATCTATTAGCCTGTGGTTTGGGGTAGGATGTAACAGGAAATTCAGTTTGAGATTTAAACTACTTCCTCCTTTTTTTTTTTGGATGTCCAGTAAGATGCTAAGTGTGATGCTGCAAGGCACAGTGCCTTTAATGTAGCAGGTCTCCAGTAAATGTTGATTCTTTTCCCATCTTGCTTGTAATTTGCCTTCATTTGTGATTAGATGGTGTGGTGTGAGAAGGTTCTGCAGTCCTGGTTATAACTGATCACAGGCATCCTGTAGGCTTCTGATGTCTGCCTTCAGGATCTTGTGGTTAATGATAGGTCTAAAGTCTAAGTACTGACCGGGAAATTGGTAGAGGATTTTGAAATTGGTAGGGGATTTTAGGTGGTAGTGAGAATTTAGGCCAAAACATTGCATTTTTTTTTTCTTCTTCCTTCCTACTCCTCTACCTAGTAGAACTATTAAGATGCTACCAAGTTTCGAATATGGTGGTTTTATAGGATTATTTACCTAAGAAGTCTGCCTAAAACTGCTCACTACGGAATTCTGTGTGGCAGGTTTTTAAAGTTTTGCAGTCTCCCAAATGACTCCTCTTTATTGGACCTGACTCTTTGGTAATGGAGAGTCTAGCTGTGGTTTTAAAGCCACAAATTAGTACCTGTGTTTTGCCTAGCCTTGTAGGCAAGACAAAATAATGAGTTAAATGAGCAGCCATGAACCTCAAGTGCTTTGAACGAAAGATATGATGCCAAAGGCTTCTTTGTAAGAGAAGGGAATTGTAGTTTGTTGGCTTGAAAGTTGAGGCAGATTTGTTTTGGGAATGTGTAGTGACCTCTGTTCAGATGTTTTCTCAATGTGACTGTTCTTCCTTTATCCTGTAGATGCTTTTCAAAGTCATGTATTTTCTACCAGAACAAAACAAAGATGGAAGCCGGTATTTTTTTGGTGTGTAAAAAGACAGGATACTGTTCTAATTGGCTTAGGAGATGGTAAATTGTAGTGGCTCTTGGTTCTTTTTTTTTTTTAAGACTTATTTTATTTTTAATGGAAAGGCAGATATACAGAGAGGAGGAGAGACAGAGAGGAAGATTTTCTGTCCAATGATTCACTCCCCAAGTGAGCGCAACGGCTGATACTATGCCAATCCAAAGCCAGGAGCCAGGAACTTCTTCCGGGTCTCCCATGAGGGTGCAGGGTCCCAAGGCTTTGGGCCGTCCTCTATTGCTTTCCCAGGCCACAAGCAGGGAGCTGGGTGGGAAGGGGAGCTGCCGGGATTAGAGCCGGGCCCTGGTCTCTTTTTTTCCTGGCTTTCATGTGTGTATGATCACTGGGAGAGCTTGTTGGAATGCGCAGTGATCTAGTAGGTCTAAGATGGAGCCTTCCTTTCTATGTCTCATTCGAACTCTGCTCCCAGAATGGTCTAGAGATCGTTATTGACTATTATCTACGTGAGCTCATTTTCCCTTAACATCACAGAGGGTGCATACTTTATATGTTCCTTTTTATGTCTTTCTCTACCAGAAAATACACTTACTATCCCCTTGAAATTGTTCAGTCCTCTGTCTGCTTTTTCAGACTGGGTTTCTTTTTCATTTAAGACAGAGCCTTGGGCCTGGCATGGTAGCCTAGTGGGTAAATCCTTACCTTGCATGTGCCAGCACTCCATGTGGGCACCGGTTTGTATCCCAGCTGCTCCACTTCCCACCCGGCTCCCTGCTTGTGGCCTGGGAAAGCAGTGGAGGACGGCCCAAAGCCTTGGGACCCTGCACCCGTGTGGGAGACCTGGAAAGAAGTTCCTGATTCCTGGCTCTAGACCGGCTCAGCTCCAGCTGTTGCAACTATTTGGGGAGTGAACTAGCGGTAGAAGATCTCTCTGTCTCTCCTCTGCAAATCTGACTTTCCAACAAAAAAAATCAATAAATCTTAAAAAAAAAAAAAATGAGACACCCTTGTCTTGTATTCTGTAGCAGGGAGCAGTAGAGGGTTGTCTTCTCCCCTTCCTCCGCAGATCGTCCGGCCCCTCCACCTCCTGCAGCCCAGAACTTCCTGTCATGTTCATCTGTTCTGTTACTACTTAAGGGATCCAGGGGCCACTTTTCTTGTCCATTTTATCTTGGGCCTAGTGTCTTCTTCAGTAAAACTAAAAAGTGGGAGTAAATGATATCTTAAGGGCATTGTAGCTTTGCAGTTTTGTAAAAATACAAGTGACTAGCCTTTTATTTTTTTTAAGATTATTTTTATTGCAAAGTCAAATATACAGAGAGAAAGAGAGACAGAGGAAGATCTTCCGTCCGATGATTCACTCCCCAAGTGGCTGCAATGGCCGGTGCTGCGCTGATCCGGAGCCAGGAACCAGGAACCTCTTCCAGGTCTCCCACACAGGTGCAGGGTCCCAAGGCTTTGGGCCGTCCTCCACTGCCTTCCCAGGCCACAAGCAGGGAGCTTATGGGAAGTGGAGCAGCCAGGATTAGAACCAGTGACCATATGAGATCCCAGTGTGTTCAAGGCGAGGACTTTAGCTGCTAGGCCGCCACAGTGGGCCCGTAACTAGCCTTTTTTATGGTGTGGTACTTTGTTACTTTGCATTCTGTCAGCAACTAATGCAGATACTAATATGCGCAGATGAAGATCCTAATATTGTTTCACTCCTGCGGTAGTTTTTTTTTAATAGTTATTTATTTTTTTATTGGAAAGTCAGATTCACAGAGAGAAGAGACAGAAGGATCTTCCATCTGAAGACTTTAGCCATTAGGCTACTGCACTGGGCCTTCCTGTAGCAGTTCTGAGAACTGGAGTCTTTTAGCCAGACCAGTTGTGCCCCGAGTAGCTTGATTGTTGTCTTTGAACTGCTTTCCATTCCTTAACCTTTTGTTCATTCTGTAACTAGTTGTAGCTAGCTTTAAAATGTGTTTTGTTAGTTTGTTTTGTTTTTTAATGAAAAAGTTTAAAAGTTGTAGCTTTACTGTATAAAGTAGCACTAGTGGCTTAAGTCCTTGCCTTGCACCGGGATCCCATATGGCTGCTGGTTCTAATCCCAGTGGTCCTGCTTCCCATCCAACTTCCTGCTTGTGGCCTGGGAAAGCAGTAGAGGACGGCCCAAAGCCTTGGGACCCTGCACCAGTGTGGGAGACCCGGAAGAGGCTCCTGGCTCCTGGCTTTGGATTGGCTGAGCTGCAGCCGTTGTGGTCATTTGGGGAGTGAATCAATGGAAGAATGATCCTCTCTGTCTCTCCTCCTCTCTGTATATCTGCCTTTCCAATAAAAACAAATAAATATTAAAAAACAACACAGGGAATAAAGTATATTACCAAATTTAAGATAGTATTGTTCTTTATCTGACACTGCACAAGTAACAAAAACTTCTGTATTTCATTATTTCCAGTGGAAAGATCATTACATAATTTGGCCCTAATCCAGGGATTGATGTAAGCAAGTTACAATGTTGCATAAGGCTTAAGATAACAATGTTATTCTTGAATTACATTATTTATATAACAGGATTTCACTGCAGATAATTTCATGTGTTCTGAATACTACCACCCAAAACCTAGTGTGAAAATCACAGGTTATTTTCTTTCTGTAGCAGGGTTCAAGGTAGTATCTTTTCCCACCGACATTGCTGAAAGATGTTATTTTAAGTCATTTGTTACTCATTTTTTAAATTATTTATTTGAAAGGCAGAATTACAGAGAAAGAGAGCTCTTCATCTACTGGTTCACCCTCTAAATGGCCCCATTGCATGTAGCTGGGCCAGTCTGGAGCCAGGAACCAGGAGCTTCATTTGAGTCTCCCACATGG